ACCCTTTTTTAAAAAATTTTTAAAAAATTAAAAATTTTTAAAAAAAAATTTAAAAAGGGAAAAATTTTTTTAAAAAAAAAAAAAAAAGGGGGGAAAAATTTTTAAAAATTTTTTTTTAAAAAAAATTTTTAAAATTTTGGGGTTTTTTTTTTTTTTAAAAAATTTTTAAAAAAAAAATTTTAAAAATTTTAAAAATTTTTTTTTTTTAAAAAAAAAAATTTTTTTTTATTTTTTTTTTTTTTTAAAAAAAATTTTTTTTTTTTTTATTTTAAAAAAAAATTTTTTTTAAAAAAAATAAAATTTTTTAAAAAAAATTTTTTAAAAAAAATTTTAAAAAAAAAAAAATATTTTTTTTAAAAAAAAAAAATTTTTTTTTTTTTTTTTCCCCCTTTTTTTCCCCCCCCTTTTTAAAAAAAAAATTTTTTCCCCCCAAAAAAATTTTTTTTAAAAAAAATTTTTTCCCCCAAAAAAAAACCAAAAAAATTTTTTGGGGTGAAAAAAAAATTTTTTGGGGCCCAAAAAAAACCCCCCCCCCCCAAAAAAAAGGAAAAAAAAAAAATTTTTTAAAAAAAACCCCCTTTTTGCCCGGGAAAAACCCCCCCCCCAAAAAAAAACCCCCCCCCCCCCCCCCCCCCCGGGGGGAAAAAAAAAAAACCCCCCCGGCCCCCCCTTTTTTCCCCCCTTTTAAATTTAAAAAAGGAAAAAGGGAAAAAAAAAAAATTTTTAAAAAAAAAAAAAATTTTTTAAAAGGGTTAAATTTTTAAAAAAATTTTTTTTTTAAAAAAAAATAAATTTTAAAAAAAAAATTAAAAGGGAAAAAAAATTTTTTTTTTTAAAAAAATTTTTAAAAAAAAAAAAATTTTTTTTAAAAAAAAATTTTTTAAAAATTTTTTTAAAATTTATATTTTTAAAAGGGGGGAAAAAAAAAAAAAAAATTTTTTAAAGTTTTTAAAAAATTTTTTAAAAAAATTTTAAAAAAAAAAAAAAAATTTTTAAAAAAAATTTTTAAAAAAATTTTTAAAGGGAAAAATTTTTTGGGGGGGAAAAAAAAAAAAAAAAAATTTTTTAAAAATTTTTTTTTAAATTAAAAAAGGGGGGGGGTTTTTAAAAATTTTTTTTAAAAAAAAATTTTTTTTAAAATTTTAAAAAAAATTGGGGGTTTTTTTAAAAAATTAAATTTTAAAAAATTTTTAAAATTTTTTAAAAAAAAAAAAAAAATTTTTTAAAAAAAAAAAAAAATTAAAAAAAAAAAAATTTTTTTTTAAAAATTTTAAAATTTTTTAAAAAATTTTTTTAAAAAAAATTTTTTTTTAAAAAAATTTTTTTTTTAAAAAAAAATTTTTTTTTTAAAAAAAATTTTTTTAAAAAGGGGGGGGAAAAAAAAAATTTTTTTTTTAAAAAATATATAATTTTAAATAAATAAAAAAATTTTTTTTTTAAAAATTTTAAAAAAAATTTTTTTTAAAAATATATAAAATATTAAATATTTAAAAAAAAAATTTAAAAAATTTTAAAAAAAAAAAAAAAAAAATTTTTTTTATAAAAATATATTTTTATTTAAAAAATTTTTTTAAAAAAAAAAATATATATATTTATATTAATATATGTATATACATGTATATAATGTATTATATATATTTTTATATATATATATATATATATATATATATATATATATATATATATTAGACCGTCAACATCGTTTTCACGAGAAATATTTTCGTTATTATTGTTACGTTGCAATTCGTTAAATTTATGTTAATCTAACGAACCCAAAACAGTGAATAAAGAAAAATCTGATTAATATCATAAAATGGGTAAACGTAATGGTACGTTTTATACCCACTTGTCACCAGTAGTAGGACGGGTCTGACACTGGGGTCGGTATTAACAGGGATGAGGTTACAGCAGGGGAAAGCTCAAACAGCACAGAGGTTCAATCAGACGGAGGAACGAGCCTCCGCCACTCCTTGTACTGAATGTACCGCTTCATGAGATACAGTGCGATACAGTCACGCCGGAGGTGGTCGTGGGAGAGTTAAACCGTCAGGGGTAACTGAGCCTGAGATGATGTGTAACAAGGGGAGTCCTGGTAACACAGGTGTGGAGTTCACCAGGCTTGTAGCGCTCTTTTGTGTGTACTCATCTAATTGTACTCACCTAATAGTGGTTGCAGGGATCTAGTTATAGCTCCTGGCCCAGCTTCTTCACTGCTCGCTACTAGATCCACTCTCCCCCTGCTCCATGAGTTTTATCGTATCTCTTCTTAAAGCTATGCATGGATCCTGCCTCCCCTACATCACTCTCCGGACTGTGTATGTGTGTGTGTGTGTGTGTGTGTGTGTGTGTGTGTGTGTGTGTGTGTGTGTGTGTGTGTGTGTGTGTGTGTGTGTGTGTGTGTGTGTGTGTGTGTGTGAGTGAGTGAGAACCTGTATTTGTGTATACTAGTCTCAATGTGTGTGTGTTTGTGTCCGTATGCATGCGTTTGAGTAGAAGGAAGGGAATGGAACATGTACGATATATTATTATTTACAGGGAACGGGGTCGAGCTCTGGCTCCTGGCCTTGCTTCTAAAGCAACAATCAGTGAGATCATTGCTTCCTAGCATCTAAAGTCTTTTCGTAAATACACATCCAGTTCTTTCCATTAGTTTACCAACGTGAGATGTAGGAAATATTTTCTCACCGCCGTTCAACACCCTTCATCCCTGTCTCGTATTTCACAACTCTCTCAACATCAGTTTTTGCCAAATCCTCCATGTATTGTTTACGTCGTAATCATGTTTCTTTTTCTTATTCTCTTTTTTAAGGTGACGTTTAGCACTTTTAGTCTCTCCTCATAGCTTGATCATCCTGCCTCTGGGATTAGTTTTACTGCACACCTCTGGATATTCCAGAGTTGGTACACATGCGTAATCTCCATGCTAGTAATTTGTGCTCGCACTTGTGTTGTGTGTGTTGTTTGTGTGTACTCACCTATTTGTGGTTGCAGGGGTCGAGTCACAGCTCCTGGCCCCGCCTCTTCGCTGATTGCTACTAGGTCCTCTCTCTCCCTGCCCCATGAGCTCTATCATACCTCGCCTTAAAACTATGTATGGTTCCCGCCTCCACTACGTCACTTTCTAGGCTATTCCACGGCCTGACTACTCTATGACTGAAGAAATACTTCCTAACATCCCTTTGATTCATCTGAGTCTTCAACTTCCAATTGTGACCTCTTGTGTCTGTGTCCCTTCTCTGGAACATCCCGTCTTTGTCCACCTTGTCTATTCCGCGCAGTATTTTATATGTCATTATCATGTCTCCCCTGACCCTCCTGTCCTCCAGTGTCGTCAGGCCGATTTCCCTCAACCTTTCTTCGTAGGACAATCCCCGTAGCTCTGGGACTAATCTTGTTGCAAACCTTTGCACTTTCTCTAATTTCTTGACGTGCTTGACTAGGTGTGGATTCCAAACTGGTGCTGCATACTCCAGTATGGGCCTGACGTAAATGGTATACAGTGTGTGTGTGTGTGTGTGTGTGTGTGTGTGTGTGTGTGTGTGTGTGTGTGTGTGTGTGTGTGTGTGTGTGTGTGTGTGTGTGTGTGTGCCTATGTTACTGTAGTTGCAGGAGTCTAGGCTCAGGTTCTAGCTTCGCGGACTATGTATAAAGCCTGTTTCCTAGATTTTTTCGTCCAGGTCATTCCACTTCCTGACCACCATACGACTGAAGAATTTTTTCCTCTCATCTCTCGGCCCAATCTGTCTCTTACTTTCAAATAAACCCTCGTGTACTTGTTTCTCACCTCTTGAGCAGTCTTTTTCCTGGATTTTCTGTGTTGTACGACTCTTGTAGGTTTAGCGGTTAGTTATGATTATAATAATTATGATAATCTGAGTATTCTGTATGTTATTTTCATGTCTCCACATGTTTTTACAATTACTGTACAATGTTTTAAAACAAAGTGGTGGACGATGTCGCAAATGCAGCCTGATAAACTGAGCGCCTTTTTCTTTTATAAATTATATTTTAAGTTCAGTTCTTTCATTATTATGTTTATGTGGAAGTGTTAAACTCGTAGAGTTATTCAGTATGTGTGCACAATGAACTGGTAGCCAAGCAGGGTTAATTCAAGGCAGTGTAGAGAAACCAGAATTCCCTGAAACAAGAGTCCTTTACTGTCTTCAAGAAATCTTTTCTGAAAGGTTCAGGTAATTTTTTTTTATCTCAACTCATTCCCAGAAGGAATGAGATGAATTTCCTTGTAATTCTTAGCACGTCTCTTGGTGTGGATTCCATGCTGGCGTTGTATATTACAAGATGAGCTCGAAGTATATCGTGAAGGACTCTGCCGAGATCTTGAAAGCTTCTCCAATTCGTCAAACGAGCATTCTCTGCCTTGGATATAAAGGTGCAATGATCCTCTGACGATATGCTCGACACAATGCTCACCCAAAGTTTATTATATGAAGACTGAAAACTTGTTTGCAGATCTATAGTCATTTTCCAGTCTACTTCATAATTCCTCAGTTTTCATAACCTTATGATGTGAGAAAGACAAATGTGCGATTATCAAGTTATTTATTAAGGATATGTCCTGCTTACCCAATAAATCATCAATAAATGACTTGATATTCGCGTGTTTTTCTCACCTGTCGGTGTTAATCACAAAGTTTGATGGAACTCTGGATTTGCTGAGGTGTGCGTCCGTGTGTGTATTTAATTCAGGGCGGCGTGTGTGGTGTGTGCGTGGTTATAATGTTCATGTGTTTCTGAGGTGGTAGTAGTAGAACATTTGTGGTGTGGTGGTCATGAAGGGTTAGTGTGTAGTGTTGGTAGGGGCGGAGCTTGTCTTGGGTGGTGAGAGGTGGGTGGCTGAGAGGCGGGGTCTGGCACTGTTGGCACGAGGGTAACAGAGTGGCCCTCACTTCCCCCCTCGTACTAGGAGTAACTGAAGGTAAAACGGGTAGCAAGGAGAGGGAGGGTAAGGTTTTAGGGGGCGGGTAGAGGGCGTGCGCCGACCCACCTGCCTAATATAGCCGTAAGATTAATATTGGTTGGTGGTGCCGGCTGGCGGAGGGTATATAGTAGGGTGGAGAGCTGCCTCCCTCTGTCCACTCCCGAGTCCTGCCGCAGCCATGTCCCGCAAGTCCGGCTCCCGCTCCTCCTCCAAGAGGTCCAAGAAGTCAGGAGGAGGAAGCAATGTGTTTGATATGTTCACACAGCGGCAGGTGGCCGAATTTAAGGAAGGCTTCCAGCTGATGGACCGCGATAAGGATGGTATAATCGGCAAGACTGATCTCCGCGCCACTTTCGACGAAATCGGCCGTATCGCCACCGACCAGGAGTTGGACGAGATGCTTGCTGACGCTCCCGCCCCCATCAACTTTACTATGTTGCTCAATATGTTCGCAGAGAGGCAAACGGGCGAGTCTGACGACGACGACGTGGTAGCAAAAGCCTTCTTAGCCTTTTCGGACGCCGAGGGACTCATAGACTGTGACGTCTTCCGTCACGCTCTCATGACGTGGGGAGACAAGTACTCGGCTCAAGAAGCGGATGACGCACTCGATTCCATGGATGTTGATGACAACGGCAAGATCGAGGTTCAGAGCATCATCCAGATGTTGACTGCTGGAGGCGGTGATGATGCACCCGCGGCCGAAGACACTGCCTAAACAAAATTATATTATATATATACATATCTGTCCCTTCTACCACTGCCCCCAGCATCTTCCCCAAGCACATGCCCACCCACGCCCACCTTTACCACGCGAAGCTTAAACTTTCAATGAGTAACCCACTGCCAGCAGTGGGCGGGGCTTCGGGCTGGACCTTCGTTATTGTGGTGTTGTGATTGTGAGAAGCCATCTAAATTCGATTCAGTGATTCCCAGCACACGCAAGAACATTCAGAGAGAGAGAGAGAGAGAGGAAACAAATATACGACGAACCCTGGCTCTAGTGGCTGATATTATTGTTGATGGTCGATAACTGCAAATAAAGTTAAATATTGAACGAGTGCTTGAAATCTCATTGTCTTTATTTCCTGTGTTGACGGAGGAAATGCTCGGGGCGAGAAGGTAAACCTGCCACCGCTGCTCAGATATGACCCGGGTGTATCCCGCCTCGCGGGCCTCATGTCATGTTCCAGTATTTGCAACACTTTGTAAACGTCCTTCTTGAAATGAAACCATTCCAACTCGCTGTTATCTCTGACGTTTTACTTTACATCCCAACATAACAATCTTCCCATATTATGCCCACCTTTGTTGAATTTTTTACATTAAGTGGCAAGTCCTCATCTTGTTTGCAAAACGTGACCCCCAACTCAGTTTACCCATAGGACCCCCATCTTAATGTCTCTGTTAAAAGTGCCACTTTTCATTTACTAAGCAAAATATATCCATAAAGTTCCCTCTATGTTTACAGAAAGGATCACTGTCATGTTTCACACCAAATGCTTTTTTTTACCTTTAATTCAATGAAAAACAAATTAAGTTATATATATGTGTAACTAATTTTCAGCTTCATTAATAAAGTGTAAACTATAAATATACATTAACACAGGGGTAGAAAATAAAAGAAAATAGTAAGTCATAGTTTACTAAATACTCCAAAATAACAGAGTTTGGAAGACACTATAAATCATCTCTCATCACTGCTGTAAGGGCATCTATAAACAAAGTACTCTTTAAACGTTGATGAAATATAAAACTTTTGCTAAACATAAGAAAACGTTTAGTAAATGACAAAAATCTAAAGTGTTCATATCAAGAGCTACAACAATAAATTATATTTTTTACTAACATTTTAATTATTACACCCCATCAGCAGTTCGTCCTAATAACACACTATGCCTCATCTGTCCTGGATTTGACAGCATCCTTATATCTCCAACAATTTGGCTGCTAAGATGACTAGGAGAGGAGTCTCAGTCATAAAAATAAACTAAACGATCACATAACAGATATTACAATAATAACAAAGGCCATATTTTTTGTGTATCTGTAATTGTGTTAAACACGGAAGGCTCAGTTCTCCTTCCAGGGACTGAACTATATTTCTATGGAGGGTGACACTGACTACGATAAGTGGCTCGTGAGTCTGAGCATGCAAGTTCTATTACAAATTCCTTTGCTTGCAGTTGTAAGATATGGAAGACACCCCTCACGATACTGTGCATGCTATTCAAGGTACCAGCCTCCTTGTACAACATCAAGTGGTATTGAGTACAATTTATTAAGTGTATCTACACAATCCTCTCAAGGGATGGCTCCTTGGTTCAGAGAATTTTAAATCCAAGCTTATCATCTTCCATCACCTAGGCGCTGTGTGACCCCTGCGGGTTTAGCGCTATTACGTTAATCTGCAGAACAAATCTGTAGGTGGAAGGGGTGTGTGATGAATGGTTTGAAAAATCGACAAGTTGAAGATTGAGACACTTATGCAGCATATGGGAATCTTTATTCAGGAAACGTTTCGCCACACAGTGGCTTCATCAGTCCAATACAAAGAGGAAGGCGTAAGGAGAGGAGGAGTATGAGGTAATCACATTCTACAAGACTGATGGACTGAACACATCGACTCCAGGCCGAGGGACTGATTACCTCATACTACTCCTCTCCTTACGCCTTCCTCTTTGTATTGGACTGATGAAGCCACTGTGTGGCGAAACGTTTCCTGAATAAAGATTCCCATATGCTGCATAAGTGTCTCAATCTTCATCCAGGTGGAAGGGGGTTTGGGGGCTCCTAGGAAAGGTTGGAGGGAGGGAGTAAAGGAGACTTTGTATGCGGAGGGCTTGGACTTCTAGCAAGCGTTTGTGAGCGTGTTTGATGGGAGTGAATGGAGTGAGTTTTCGATCTTGTGCTGATGGGGTGTGAGCAAGGTAACATTTCCGAAGGTACTCGGGAAAATCGGTTAGCCTCACTTGAGGCATGGAGAAGTGGGGGGTATTTGCAGTTTTGAACTGCAGTAGCGGCACTTCTGTGGAAAGAGTGATGGGCAAAGTGTTTCTTCTTTTTCGGGTCACCCTACCTCGGTGGGAGAAAGCTTGAGTGTGAAGAAAAATATCATAATATATCACGTGAGCATAACCTTAAGACATTTTATTATGACATGTTACGGCCCTGGAACAATATTCACTTCCATGGATAAAATTCCAGGGCCTAAATATTTCCATTAACATATCGTTAATGTTCTCATGTCTTCCTCAATTTACGGTTATCATACTACAGAATATAGCGAGGAAAAGATACACTTTACAAGAGAAGCTCTCACACAGGGACAACATTACCAAGTCATGATTTGATAAAGTGGCACACTCGGCGGATGGAAGCCTGGTAAAGGGGAAGAATGATTTTTATCTAGTTATTCAGGGACGGAGGATGAAGTCTCCAGTCTCCACGAACCGATATGAATTTAACGCTGCATAATAATATAAAATAATCTACATAGAAACATGGTCCAAAAATTTGAATTGCAACGTCCGACTGTTCTCTAATATATCATATACTACACTGGCCCACAGTGGCATCTTTCAAGAGGTTCTCATCAATGCAAAGGCTACCAAGATACCACATTAGAGATCACATACCACTGCTACCAACCACATTCTAAGGCAACACACTAGAGAGTGTATATCCCTCTTGCATAATACCAAATGGTCATTGCTGTGACAATAACTGAACAGAACTTTATCGAGCTTGCTGCCCATTTTTTCATCGTATCAGGTGATGTGCTGGACTAAATTAAAATTACCCTCTCTATTCTCCTCTCTCTCTCTCTCTCTCTCTCTTTCGTGAGGTGCTCACTGCATCTGTGCCACGAGGAACTCGGAGATCCTGTTCCATAAATAATTTACTATGGTTTAACATTGTAGGATCTTACTGCTCAGGAAAACTTATTATAAAAATTACTACACATTCTTGGATACTAATGATTAAGAAAAGATGAAATAGCTGAAACATGAGTTCGCTAGTAACACTGAAGGGTTACAGGACGAAAATATTCCTGCCTGCTTTCACGATTAGCCCACCAATAGGAAATAGCGAATGGTATCGAATGGAGACGTGTCACTGGGACTCCTCAGGGATAATTCCTTGGACCAGTACTTTGCACGATTTACTTAAGTGATTTCGAACTGGGATTAATGTCTAAAATATCAAAATTCACGCAAGACAAAAATTAGAAAAAATGCAGCATCATTGGCTGTGCGTACGAGTATCGAGAGTGACTTGAATAGGTTGAAATGACTAAAAATCGTAATAACACGTCTGCAGAACATGGGTTGTACCCCACCCGTTCCATGATTAGGATGGTTAAATGGCCGGAGCTTTGAAAGACATGTTTCGATGTTGAAAAGTGCCAAGTAACGAGTTTTGGATACAATCCTTACATTCATGACTGTAAAATTTACAAAAAAAGACTGAAGGAAGCAAAAGAGGAGAAAGACCAAATAATAAGTATGAACAATGACATTAAATACACTAAACACTGCGTTTTCTGAACAACAAAGACACCAGGAATGTTCGCTTTCATAATAATATATTTCAATACACAACATATTACAACCCAGGATTCCAAATGGCCTGTTATCCCGGGTGTAATGGGAGCAAAATAAACACAGCAGAAAAAGTTTAGACTTATATTATCCTTCACCAATTTAGAACAGCAATATGTACACTATGTACAGTGATAAGTATAGTGCACTCCACGGTAAGCAAGGCAGAAATAGAAGCCACAAGATAGCAGACCGTTATTATAATAAAAAAGAAGCGCTAAGCCACAAGGGCTATACAGCGCTGCAGAGTAGGGAAGGAAGCGAGGGTATAGGATGGCAGAAGGGAGGAGGGATGATCAGTAGGTTACAGAAAACAGCGAGGCAGGGGATAGTACGGGGGTAGAGGGTAGCAAGAGATTGAAGTAGAAAGGGCTGAAGGTATCAGAATTTGTGAAGTAAGTCGGTTGTTGTCAAAAGTCAATGAGAGAGTCTGGATGAAAGGTGGGTCCATCAGCGAGAAGGGAAGGTAGAGAGAGAGCAGCAGAGCGAAGACGACGACGGAGTAAATTCTGCGTGCTCGTTGATAAAGTGGGCAGTCCAACAGAATGTGGCTGACTGATAATGGAACTTGGCAATTCTCACAGAGAGGAGCAGGGCGCCTCTCCATGAGATATCCATGAGTAAGACGAATACGGCCAATGCGAAGAGGGAGAGAGTAGTCTCCAACCTCGACACTGGTGATAAGAAGACGGCCAGTAACCTATACTCGGTTTAATAGACTGAAGTTTGTTGCCGAGCATAGTAGACCAACGTTGTTGCCAACGGGTGTGAAGTTGGGAAGATATTGCAGCAAAATAGTCCGTAAATGGAATACCTCTATATGAAACTGGTAGGTCATGTACTGCTGACCGCGCAGCAGTGTGTGCCTGTTCATTGCCCTGTACGTCAACATGACCAGGGACCCAACAAAAAACAATATCTTTATGCTTGGTAAAGATACGGCGTAGCCAAAGTTGGATACGGAGGACTAAGGGGTGAGTGTGTATCAATTTCTGTATAGCCTGTAAAGCACTAAGGGAGTCTGAGACAACCACAAATGACACAGGCATAGATGCAATACGGATAAGTGCTGTAAGGATGGCATACAATTCAGTAAAAATACTAGCCGAAGATAGTAAATGCCCTTGTATGACGCTGTCCGGAAACACTGCTGCGAATCCTACGCCGTCAGAAGACTTAGAGCCATCTGTGTACACAACAATGGCATGAGAATGAGAGTGAAAGTGGTCAAGAAAAAGAGAGCGGGAAGCGACCGTAGACAGTTGGGCTTTCGAGCAAGGGAGAGAGAAAGAACAGACTCGAACAGCTGGAACGTCCCAGGGGGGTAGGGAAAAGTGAGATGCTACATGCACATAGAAAGGTGGTAATTGAAGAGAAGACAAGAGCGAATGAAGGCGAAGAGAGAAGGGACGGAGTAAACAGGGGCGACGAACAAATAATGTCTACTAATATCAGTG